GGAGGGGGAGAAAGGTGGGAGGAGGGGGCGTAGGGTGGGAGGAGGGGGAGGGAAATGGGAGGCTGGGAGGAGGTGGAAACTTGTTTTTTTGTTTTTTTTCTCCTTTTCTCAATAAAAAAATAAATTAAAACAAACAAACAAACAAACAAAAAAAGAAACAACAACAACAACAAAAAGGTGAATTTTAAAATTAAAAAATTGGAAAAATAAACATGTTTAATTAAAAAGGCCTGTGAGTCTTTTGTTCTAAAAATCAATTTTAAGAGAAAATAGAAATAGTAATGGAGAGAGAATAATGAACCTGCAGGGGAAATATTTTCTGAATTTATATAGAAAAGGGACTCCAAAAAATGTTCAGTCTGCAAAATGCTTGCCAGGCCAGACTGATGTAAAAAACATAAGTGTGGCTGCAAGTGACTGTACTCCCAGCAATGATGATGCAGACGGGAGGATGCCCAGGACTTGATGGTCACCTTGTCATGTCTATCACTGACCTCCAGGTTCATGGAACGCTCCTAAGTCAAAAGTTAAAATGAAGTGCAATTGAGAAGGATACCTAACACTGACCTGTAGTTGTGCGGGACCCAATTCCAGTTAAATATCACCCTCCCATACACAAATACACACCAAAACAAAACAAAAAGTACAACATTAAACAATGCTACAGAAAAGTCAAATTCTTGAAAAATAAATCAGTATAAGCTATTGCTAATTTTAAGAGATGAGAAACTAAATAAAGACTAAAACTACTAGGTTTATGGTTGTTTCCACTTTTGTTTATAAATTCCTAATGTTATCTGAAAGTAAAATGAATTCAGTTTGTAAACTCTGTATGAGTTAGAACTTTATAAAAACCTTGAAAATTGGTTAAACATACAATAAATTAAACATAGTGCCAAAAAAACCCAGTTGAATCAAAAGGAGAAATAATTTTGTAGTAACCTGCCAGGAGGCTACCTGAGGTGCTAACTTTTATGTTAAATGGCTTAAGACAGAAGAGTAAAGATAAGTCAAGAGAAGAATGGTATGAAAACATACTGGAACTACAGAGCAGACAGACTACTAAGACAAATTACTTAATAAAGAATATAAAAGTGAGGTATTCAAGCAATCTGAGGTAGGATTTAAAAATTAAAAAATTTTAGCCGGGCGGTGGTAGTGCACGCCTTTAATCTCAGCACTCGGGAGGCAGAGGCAGGCGGATCTCTGTGAGTCCGAGGCCAGCCTGGTCTACAGAGCTAGTTCCGGGACGGACACCAAAGCTACAGAGAAACCCTGTCTCGAAAAACAAAAAAAACAAAAAAAAAATTAAAAAATTTTAAAGCAGCTATGCACATAGAAAAGAATATATATGGTGGGTCATCTCTTCAGGCTTTAAGTCCATGTCCATACATTAAAAGTATTCCTTTTCTTGCCCAAGTTCAAAAATACTATAAAATGTGAAATTTCAACAAATGTTAAGATTGTGGAAAGAAAACCAGACAATCAGACAGACCTATTTGAAAAGTATTAATATCAGGTATTCTTAAGAGCTATAAGAAATACTGACGAAAACCTGAAGGTAACTAGAAAAAAATATAAGCAAATTGAGTACACCAGTGAGGACAAAAAAAAATTAAAAAACCTATCATTATAGATAAAAATATAACACATTCAACAGTAAGTCTGAACAAGGCAGATTTAACTACTAGAAATTTAATATGCGTAATTTTAACTCCTAAAGTCAGATAAGAAAAAGCTGTATTGATCCCAAAGGATTTATAAATCACCACCCATGGAGAAAAATACAGAACATAATGTTCAAAAAAGGCAAAGATGGAGTTTATTTGAATGCTATACAAAAGATCTTCCCAATTTTGAGAACAGAAATATATAAATTTAAGAAGTCATAAAAATCTAAGAAGACACAAGCAAGAACTCATACGCATTACTGTGAAATCATGACCAAGAAACAGAAAGTAGATTTGGCGGTTTGAATAAGATGATCCCCACAGACACATACATCTAAATATTTGGTCCTACTGGGTGAACTGTTTATGAAAGGTTGTTAGTATGGCCTTGTTGAAGAAGGTGTGACCTTGCTGGGGGTGTGTCACTGGCTTTGATGTTTCAAGACATCAAGCAAAGTGTCTCACTCTGTGTATAACTTACAGATCAGATGTGTGAGCTTTTAGCTGTTGATTCAGTCTGCCTGCTCCCACACTCCCCACCACAATGGTCATGGACTAGATCTCTGAAACTATAAGAAAGCCTCTAATTAAATGCTTTCTTTCATAGCTGCCATGGTCATGGTGTCATTTTACAGCAATAAAAAAGTAACTAAGATACCAGAAAAGAACCTTAAGAAAGATGCATATCCATATAAACTCAGAATCATCATTAGGAACCCTGCAAATCAGGATTAATTACATATTTGAAAGTTTTAGAGAAAGGAGAATGAAACAAACCAATCTGAAAGACAAATTTAAAATAAACCTGTATGGTATTTTTTCAAGATATAATTTCCCCACATTTTATTTTGGGCCTCTATATTCTACTCTAAACTTCCAAAACCTATACCAACACAGTAAAAATATTATAGCAGACAAAATATGTACCAAAATGCAGAGCTACCAACTGTAAGAAACAAATATTCACAAACTGAATTGAGAACTGGTCAGAACATTAAATACCATACTTTAATGATGGGTAACAGTCATACAAAAGTTCAGGAGAAGCCGGGCAGTGGTTGCGCACGCCTTTAATCCCAGGAGGCAGAGGCAGGAGGGTCTCTGAGTTCAAGGCCAGCCTGGTCTACAAGAGCTAGTTCCAGGACAGGAACCAAAAGCTATGGAGAAACCCTGTCTCGAAAAATCAAAAAAAAAAAAAAGTTCAGGAGAATCTACAAAACAAGCACACATTCCCCCACAAATTAACAGAAGATGCTTTCCCAAGAGCCGATGAAGCATTTATCAGCCTACACTACATCACAAGATAATATCCAAGACTAATAAAACAGAATGTTTTTCAGAACATAATGCAATGAAACAAGAAATCAAAAGAAAAAAGCGTAATTATAAATAAAACAGAAATTAAATTATACATTAGAAACAATCTATCTCTCAAAGAGCAAAAGACAACTGAAATTAAGATAATTAAAACAAGTAAAAAAATCAAACATAGGATGCAAAAAAGTTATTGTAGGGGGAAGTCTAGAATTATGAGAAAAAGGGTTTCAAACCGGCAACTCAGCCACATCTTATTCTTTTCTTCTACAGTGCTAATGTTTTAACTCAACTTTGGGCATGCTAGAAAGGCACTGTACAAATAAATTACACCCCCCCCAGGTCCACACTATGAACCAAAAGGAAAAACCAAACACAAAGTTGGAAGAAAATGGAACACATTTGAATGTATACAATGGAAATAAATGTAGAGAAGAATATGAAAAGCATCAAGAAAAATGGATAAAGCCAAGTCTGATTATAGGCATTACAAGTTCTACAGAAATAAAACAATTGTAGTACTTTAGTGTAATGAATTAGATAAACTGGATAAAAGAAGAAACTTCTAGAATTATCCAAACTAATCCTACACTAGAGAATATTATTGAATTAGTAATTAAGAACTCAATAGCTGGGTGTGTGTTGACAAAAGCCTGTGATCCCTCCACAGATTAAGTGAAAACAAGACAATATGAGATTCAGGGCCATAACTATTGATAGTCTATCAGTATGGGCTGGAAGAAACTCCAACAAAATGATCAAGGACCAAAGCGTATTCTTCCTGAGGGCAATCATATTTCAATATTTAACTACTAACCAATATGATGTATCACATTAACAGAATAAAACACCAGAAAACCAAAATAATCTGTTAATGCAAAAACCAGTAACAAGCAAAATCCAACCACCTAAGCACCCAACAATTATTTCAACATAACAATGGTCACACTAGAGAAGAATCAAAGTTAATGTAATACTCAATGTAGTAACAAAATGTTTTTAAGATTAGGAATGCCAATTTTTTTACATTTCATGGCCAAGATAATATTAATGTCTAAGTTTCAAATATTATACAAGAACAGATATACAGTTAAAAAAAAACAAGGCACAAAATTTCCTACTTTTTAAAAGATGTACTCTATCACTTTATATTCCCTCTTAGATTTTATTTCTGTGTATGTGTTCACATGATAAAACTGTATTATTCTTTGTATGCTTTTTTAAAAAATGGTTGGTTATTCTACATAGTTCAACTATATTTGAGACACCACAAACCCATTAAAAGTGACACTAAGACATAAAAAAATCTACAAATCTATTAATAAGTATTTTTAGTTCTTTAGATGAGAAAGTATTTTCTTGCTTAATGAACATGTTATAACATTTACTAGTATAAAGCACAACTTTCATTTCAAGTTAAGAATAAAATAATTATTACTTGATTCAATATTCACATTTTGATGAACACTAAGATTTACTTTTAGAGAATCAAATTCTAATAACTGCCTAATGGTAAGTGAAAATGGAAATTTAAATGTGAATTTTCAGCATCTATTAAAAAGTATTTTTTGTTTTTTAAGAACATATACACACAAACACACACATGCATGTACATGCGGACTTAAAGCACAAAGAAGACAACATGCAGTCAATATTTGTCCTATAGTAGTTAAATTGTCTAACATCAGAGGAAACACAAAATTAATAAATACAAAGAATCATTTTTCCCTGAGAAAAAAATATAAATTAATTTTCAGCAAGCATACTTATCAATCAATTAGTTAGTGTGTTATATGTTTTCTTCAGGTTTTAGTTATAATGTTACCAGGAATTCCATGATTATGAACCAACAATACACATTAAATAAAAAAACTGCATAAAGCAAGGTTACATATTTAGATTGGCTATTGTTATTTTAAGCAGTACATTTTATTTAAATGCAAGTTTGTAGCAGTATTTATATATAACAAATGCTAAAAATAGTTAATACTGGATCTTTAAAACAAACCAACATACTTTTGGTAAACGTAGGTCTGGAGAACAGGCAAAGAGTTCATCTTCAGGAAACTGAACACTTGAGGACACTGACTCACAAGGACGTGCACCATTACAGATATGAAATTTGCAATGAGGATTTAAGGCCATTGCTAGAAGTTCTAGAAACAGACAGCAGTCCTGAGACAACTTCGTCACACAAAGCTCCACTAGGCGATGGGTATTGTTAATAATATACCTCTGTTAAACAAGTAATAGTTAGGGAGACAATATGGTTTACATTAAGAACAGACTACAATTTCACATACAGAAAATTTCATTCTTGTTAATCATCTTTTCATTCATTTCTGCAGTAATTATGTGAAATTTCTTACACAGCACTACTGTGAACAAATTAACATTTTCATTATAGTAATATTCAATTCACTGTATAATTTTATGTTTCAGAACCACCTGCAATCTTAGCACTTAGAAAATATAAACAGGAAGATTTTAGGCCAGTTCAACTGTATAATGAGCCCAGTGATATAAAAATTCTATGTCATATGAGAATATTAAAATAAAACCTAAAAAAGATTTCTAATGATGTATCAGCAATGGATTGCTTATAACTAACTACACTGTGTACACAAAATAAATGCAACAGTATTTTCTCACCCTGGTATGTTGCAGTCTAGAAGCAAAAATCAAAAGTCTAAACATTCTTTATTCACTACAAACATTAAGTCTTAATTGATAAATCAAACATTACTTCCAAACTTTGCATTAACTGACAATTAAAAAGTAAATTCTGAAGTTTACAGCACGTCTGCATAAACACACATATAGCCAGGCGATGGTGGTGCAGGCCTTTAATCCCAGCACTCGGGAGGCAGAGGCAGGCGGATCTCTGTGAGTTCGAGACCAGCCTGTTCTACAAAAGCTAGTTCCAGGACAGGCTCCAAAGCCACAGAGAAACCCTGTCTCAAAAAACCAAAACACACACACACACACACACACACACACACACACACACACACACACACACACACACACGCAGGCCCTGGCCATTTTTGAAAAATTTAAGTGACATTCTGCCCATAAAAAATATGTATGTTTCACAACTCATGGTTACTTGCAGTTCATAAATGACTGCCTTGTCATTCAGTAACTTGTTAAAAAGACTTCTATATTGTCATTAAAAGAAAACTGAGTCTCTTGCCAAGTCTAAGTTCAAGTCTCTTGCCAACTCTAAGTTCAAGTCTCTTGCCAACTCTAAGGTGGCTCCCTTAACTAAGAATTGTGCTTCCGTGCTCCCCTATCCAACCTTCCTTTATCCCAATCCTCCTTTTTCCCCAAGTTCCCCCCATTCTCCCCTTCTCCCTTTTCTCTCCCCATCTCCACTTACCCCCATCCCACCCCACCCCCAAGATCTCAATTTTCTCCCTGGCCATTTTGTCTACTTCCCATAGCCAAGAGGACAACTATATGTTTTTCCTTTGGTTCACCTTCTTACTTAGCTTCTTTGGGATCACCAATTGTAGACTCCGTGACCCTTGTTTATGGCTAGAAACCAATTATGAGTGAGTACATCCCATATTCATCTTTTTGGGTCTGAGCCTAGCCAGTTTGGATGTTCACCTTCCTAGAAATGGACGGAGAGGGGAGGACCTAGGACTTACCACAGGGCAGGGAACCCTGACTGCTCTTTGGACTGGAGAGGGAGGGGGAGAGGAGTGGGGGGAAAGGGGAGAAGGGTGGGAGGAGGGGGAGGGAAATGAGAGGCTGGGAGGAGGTGGAAACTTGTTTTTTTTCTCCTTTTCTCAATAAAAAATGGAAAAAAAAGAGAGCAATATGAATAAACAAAAAAAAAAGAAAAAAGAAAACTGAGATGCAGGAAAAGATGGCTCAGCGGTTAAGAGCACTGCCTGCTTTCCCAAGGTACTGAGTTCAATTCCCAGCAACCACATGGTGGTTCACAACCATCACATAATGAGATTTTGTGGGAGGAGGGAAGGAGGTGGAAATTTTCTTTTTTTTTTTTTAAAGATCTGCTACTATTTATTTATTTATTTATTTATTTATTTATTTATTTATTATGTATACACTATTCTGTCTGTATGTCTGAAGGCCAGATGAGGGCGCCAGACATCTTTACAGATGGTTGTGAGCCACCATGTGGTTGCTGGGAATTGAACTCAGGACCTTTGGAAGAGCAGGCAATGCTCTTAACCACTGAGCCATCTCTCCAGCCCAGAAATTTTCAATAAAAAATAAATAAATTAAAAAAATAAAAGAAAAATGAAATCTTATGATGGATCAATAGTAGTTTAAGTTATTTCTGTTCTAAGCTATAATCCATCTGAGAATACAAAATTATGTTTGACGTTTTCAGTGTCAAAATTAAAGTTTGAACTTCCAAAATATTTTAGTATTAATTTGTGACTTATATTTCAAAAAGAAAATTAAACTTTTATCTTCCAGGGTCAAGGTAAGTATAAGTTTCTTTGCTTGCTTCTACATGAAAACTGCTAAGTAATTTTATCATTATCAGTTAGTGTTTCAGCTATATTGAGACATTATTCCCCAATTTAGAAATATATTTTAAAAATAAACACAACTGTGGATAACTTAGAATCAATACTATCACACATCTGGTAAACTATATTGTTACAAGATACTTGAATTCCTAGAGGCAGATTTTATTTAAAACTGTACTTAAAACCCCACGCAAGATTTACCTAAAAAAAAAACTCCTCCTTCCAAATTATATCACACCTATTAATAAAGTTGATACTTTATTATTATTACCAATAATATTTTTCAAACAGACTCATAGAAATCATTATATAAAACCAAATCTCCCTTTTACAAAACTCACATGAATTTCAAATTTCCATCCACTCAGTGCCTCATCCATAAGTATTTTGGTAAAAGATACAGTTAAAACATCTCGAAAAAAACGCTGACAAGCTTCACTTTTAGCATCAAGGCCTATGAAAAAGTATAATAAAACAGATAAAAACATTCCTATAGCCAAGTTTGTGACTACATATAACATACTGTTAGAAACTGGTGTGTTTTCTAATCCACATAGAATATTATATAGTGTTTGAGAGAATTAGCATTAATATAAAAACTCAGGATAGAATTCAGAAAAACTACATGAAAAACTCATCAAGGAATTGCAACAACTGAAAATGTCTCAGAACATCATGTAGCTTAACATTTTCTGATGTCAGTTAAACCTAAAACACTACTTAAAAAGAAAGGCATCTCTGCTTCACATGATGCCCCAAAATAAGGGAAAGCCCTATAAACTGAAAGTGAATCATTATCAAGCATAATTTAGAATTCTGGTTCAGCTTACACTGTACTGTAAAATGCCCTGTACGTATGTGACATCTTCTGAATTAAGAAGATCTCTCTACAGTTGCTAAAGAGATACGTCACCAGTTAAAAGAATGAATGTACTGTTTTTGGAAAAAACATTGTTTAAGTCCCAACACTTCCACCACAGATTCATAAAACACTAGTAACTCTAGCTCCAGGGTATCCTATACCTTCTGGCCTTCATGGACTCCTCAAGTCATAGGCATATTTCCCCATAGAGACAGATATACATGTATAGATCTGATTGAAAAAATTGACACAAGGACCAAAGATATATAAATATGCCATCTCATTTCAAGGACTTGAAAAATGATCATTACATTAAGTTGGTTTATCGTTTGCCTTTGAAGACTTAAAAAGTAAAGAATATTATACAAATTCCTAATCAGTGGTAAGAATGCACAATACCTGACATGATAAAACAGAAAAAAAAACCTGTCCATTCTAGGATCTAGGACATAATTCAGTTAGTAATGTCTTTAACTTATACGTCTAAGACCTAAGTTTGATTCCTAAGTTTATACAAAAATAACATGTAATCTCAGTGCTTGGAGAGGATAAAAAGATTCCTGGGGGGAAAAAAAGATTCCTGGAGCTCCCTAAACTACGTGACAAGTGCTAAGACTGACATTCCCAAATGTCAGGTCTTCTCTGTCCTCTCTATGTACAATCATACACACATGCTCACCTGTACATACAGACACAGATAAAAATTTAAACTACAGCTATGCTGCAAAAGTAAAAACTAGACTTTATTATTTCTTTTCCTGTGGTTGCTTCACGGCAAAAGACCCCATATTTCAAAATATCCATGTTCCTTTTGAAAAACAAAAGACCTCTTTTTCTTCATTAAAGAAAGCAAACATGTAAGAATATTTATTAGAAAATATACATGTAGTAGTAATGGAAAAACAATTTTCAAAAAATATCAGGGGCTTTCATTATCACATAATTTTATTTACTGGCATTCTAGTCAATAAAATAGCATGTTTGGGTAATTTTTGCTGAAATAATTTTATAAATAAATGTCTCAATGCCTTAAATCTAAATTTCACCAAAAATACAAGAAATTATATAGCTATCAAAAAGCAAAACTTTTAAATTGTAAATAATCCTTAATGTGTATTATAATTTAAAATGAATGTGAATTAAACTTTATTGCCTTCTTAGAAACATGTAAGTACACATAAAATCCTGCTTCAAATTTTACAAGTTCAGATTGCTTTTTATTTGTCATGTTAAATATTTTTCATGTTTTTTAAAATTCATTTTTTTTTAAAATCCACTCCATATTCAATTCCTCTGGCCATTTTCCTACTGGCATTTTGAAATCCTATGGTCCAATGTTTAAATAGGCCTTAACCTCTATGTATCAACCTTAAGACTAATCTAATGTAATGTGAAAATGACTACAGATCAGCAGTTTTCTATCTCCGGGTCTCAACCCCTTTGGCAAACCTCCATCTCCAAAAAACTTGAAATTATGATCCTTAACCATAAAAAACTTATGGTTATAAAATAAGGACAAAAATATTTTATGATTGGAGCCACCACAATATGAAGAACTGTACTAAAGTGTTACAGATTAGACGGTTCAGAACCACTCTATAAAGTTTGCAACAGCCTCAGGCTCTCCAAAAATATGTGGACAAAAGTTTAATTTTCCATTTCATTTCCCTGACCAGGTCACTACAACTAAACATAAAAGTTTAGGTGAGATCAAAATACTTTCCTTCTTCATTATTTATAATTGTAAGGAGGGTGTAAGACATGTTTAAGTGAATAAATGTCACTAAGGCTGACACAGATTTCTAAACATATAGGATATCAATAAAACTAACCCCGTTAATAAACATAATGAGTAACATGGAAAATACCTATTTTGTCGATACTAATTATAGTGGCTAGAGAACTAAGAGATGCTTCTGCTGTCACATGCAGAGCACCTAGCTTCTTAGTTCTTAGAGTAGAGATAATTCCTCTAAAGTTTTTCCTGACTCCTTACTCTCAGTGAATGAATGCCCATATATATATATATATATATATATATATATATATATATATATATATATATATACACACTTAGCCTTACCAGGAAGTTTATTGATATTGACTGAAAATCACAAATATTTAACTTTGTAATAGAAAAAAAACAAAACCTTCAAAAATATTATTTACATATATAAAAAGCATATACTATGAAAAGAATGGGAACATGTGAAACTCACCTTTTTTACTAAGATCAATAGAAGCTTCTAAAAGTACTTCTAATTCTCCCTTTGGCACAACAGGAACCACCCATTGAGGTCTAATAATGATTATAAAATAAGATTATTTTTCAGAACATTACTCAAACACTTTAAGTTATGTAGAGTGCTTTTAGTAGGATAAAGAGTGAAACAAACAACAAACAAAATCCTTTTAGATTTAAAGGAAAATCCTGCAAACATCTCCTTTCGTGGCATTAAAGATATACATTATAATCTATATAAACTTTTAAAGATAATATCAAATAACAAATAACTCATCATTCTTAACAAAAAACAAAACAAAATTCAATTGCTAATGCCTGTAGTTAGAAAGGAAAGTGTTCTTTCAATTTTTTTTTTAAAGGAAGAGGATGTTAAGAGAATGTGAGTCTTTTGGGTGCCCTTGCGTGCTATGTGCCATAAAAGCTACCAAGATTATCTGGAGCCTTTTGTCATAACAGTTTTTGATGATAATGTGATGATGGCATCTATCTCCTTATTACTTGATTCAGGAATCAGGGATTTTTGAAGATGTAGCTACATACTTCATTTACCAACAATGGGTGAGTGGGCAAGCCTGACAACTTACTTAGAAGGTTCTATATAGGGACACGTTGCAGCAGAACTTTACTTCATTAGAGCAAGAAAAAGAGGTATATTCTCTCAATCAAAGGTGTTAAGAACCAGGGGTTTGGAAAGCAGGGAACTTCTCAAAACTAAGAAAATATGCTCAACAACTTAAAAGAATATGTGGAATGAAATCAAGTTGGCTGTGTTAGACAAACAAAAAGGAAGTTTAACTCCTGACCTTTAAATATCAGTTTGACAGATTTATTAGACATGTTAAATAGCAAATGTAGCTTCTTCTTTCTGTAGTTATGCATATTTTCTAGTAACCTAATGTATCAATAAATGTACTAACAGAGTACAATTAGCAACAAAACTAAAAAAGAGAGTATTATGGGTAGAACAGAGTGTGCACAAAGGGAAAACCACAGAAAAGGAATAAAAAAATCTCCTAAATTAGTATTATCCACTGACCCTCCCCTTTCCTCTTATTTAATACCAATTAATTTTTTGGTCAAAAGCAGTTTTTTCTTTCAAGTCATTACATCAGTATGCATACAGATAAAAATAAATGCACCTGTTGACCAAATCTTCCAACTTTGCCAGGTCAGCATGGGGAAATGAAAGATCTTCATCTTCATGCTGTGGTGGAGCATCACCTTGACCTTGTTCATCTGGAAGAGTCACTGGAGAATTCTCATTGGAAGAGTCAGATGATGAGATCTTAATTAAAAGTTAAAAAATCCCAGACTTAACTATTTATAAACACATGTACAGGACTTAGCAATTCACATATCAATATATATCTAGGATAGGCTTACTTATTATCTGATATATATTATCTCTGTATTTAATTAAACTGGGGTAGTACTACTGATCTCTGCCCCTTTCCATCATCATGAATGCTATTTCCCACAAGATTAAAAATAATAATTATTATATAGCACTGTATTAATTAAGCTAACTTAGAGAACACTTTTTAAAATGATTACTACTAGTATAAATAGTTGTAGTTAACTTTATTCACAAAACTTTAAGACTTTAAAACGTTCATTTGTCACCACACACATACCATGACATAACTAATAACTAGAAACATGCTTTTGACAAAATATAAAACCCCTTCATGATAAAGGTCTTGGAGAGAGCAGGGAAACAAGGAACATACCTAAACATAATTAAGTGAATAATCAGCAAGCCAACAGCCAACATAAAACTACATGGAAAGAAACTCCCAGTGCTTCCATTGAAATCAGGAATAAGACAAGGTTGTCCACTCTCTCTATATATATTCAATATAGTTCTTATGGTCCTAGCTACAGCAATAAGACACCAAAGGGAGATCAAGGGGTTACAAATTAGAAGAGAAGAAGTCAAACTCTCACTGTTTGCTGATGATACGGAAGTTTATTTAAGTGATCGCAAAAATTCTACCAAGGAACTTCTACAACTTATAAATACTTTCAGCAATGTAGCAGGATACAAAATTAGCTTTAAAAATCAGTAGCCCTCTTTAACAAAGATGAAATAAGGGCTGTGGAAGCAATCAGAGAATCAATACTCTTCAGAAATAGCCACAAATAGCATAAAATATGTTGAAATTACTCTAACCAAACAAGTGAAAGTCTTGTATGACAAGAACTTTAAATCTTTGAAGAAAGAAATTGAAAAGGACACCAGAAAGTAGAAAGATATCCCACACCTTGGGTAGGTAGAATTAACATAGTAAAAATGGCAATCTTACCAAAAGCAATCTACAGATTCAACACAATGCCCAGCAAAATTCTTCACAGATCTTGAGAGGACAATAATCAACTTTATATGGAAAAACAAAAGACCCAGGATAACCAAAACAATCCTGTACAATAAAAGACCTTCTAGAGACATCACAATCCCTGACTTCAAACTCTACTACAGAGCTACAGTACTGAAAACAGGCTGGTATAGGCATAAAAACACACAGGAAGACGAATGGAACCAAACAGAAGACCCAGATATCAATCTACACAACTTTGAACACCCGATCTTTTGATAAAGAAGCAAAAAATATCAAATGGAAAAAAAGAAAGCATATTTAACAAGTGGTGATGGCGTAACTGGATATCATCAACATGCAGAAGGATGAAAATAGACCAATATCTATCACCATGCACAAAACTCAAGTCCAAATGGATTAAAGACCTCAACATAAAGCCAGCCACACTGAACCTTACAGAAGAGAAAGTGGGAAGTACACTTGAATGCACTGGCACAGGGAACTACTTCCTAAATATAACACCAGCAGCACAGAAACTGAGAAAAACAATTAATAAATGGGACCTCCTGAACCGGAAAAGCTTCTTTAAAGCAAAGGACATGGTCAACAAGACAAAACGACAGCCTACAGAATGGGAAAAGATCTTCACTAACCCCATATCACACAGAGGACTGATCTGCAAAATATAGAAAGAACTCAAGAAATTGGACACCAAAAGATCACAAAATCCAATAAAAAAAATGGAGTAGAGACCTAAACAGAGAACTCTCAACAGAGGACTCTAAAATGGCTGAAAGAAACTTAAGGAAATGTTCAACATCTGATGTAGGTGAGTCTTCTTTCTATGTGTTTCTTTCATTGGTTAATTATTTCGGGTAAAGCTAGCAGAGAGCCGGGCTGCAGCCAGTGGCTCTGATAACTACAAACATCCTTAGTCATCAGAGAAATGCAAATCAAAACAACTCTGAGATACCACCTTACACACGTAAAAATGGCCAAGATCAAAAACACTGATGACAACTTTTGCTGGAGAGGTGGTGGGGAAAAGGGAACAGTTCTGCATTGATGGTGGGAATGCAAGCTAGATGTCAGTGCAGCGATTTCTCAGAAAATTATGGAACAAACCTTCCTCAAGACCCAGTAATACCACTTTTGGGTATACACCCAAAGGATGCTCAATCTTGCCACAAGGGCATGTGCTCAACTATGTTAATAGCAGCTTTGTTTGTCAAAGCCAGAACCTGGAAACAACCTAAATGCGCCTCTATTGAAGAATGGATAGGAAAATGTGGTACATTTTACATAATGGAGAACTACACAGCAGAAAAAAAATTATAACAGCTTGAATTTTGCAGGAAAATGGATGGAGCTAGAAAACATTATTTTGAGTGAGATAACTCAGACACAGAGAGACATTTATCACACGTACTCACTTATAGGTGGGTTTTAAACATAGAGCAAAGAAAAGCCAGTCTATAAACCCCAACCCCAGAGAACTTAGATAACAATGAGGACACTAAGAGAGACTTACATAAATCTAACCTACATGGGAAGTAGAAAGTAGAAAAAGACAAGGTCTCCTGAGAAAGAAAATTGGAAGCATGGGGACCTTAGGAAAGGTTTGAGGGGGAAGGAGAGAGGCAGGGAGTAGAACATAGAAATATGTAGAGCAATAAAAAATGTGAAAAAAAAAGAAAGAAAAGAAAAATACTAATCAACTACAATATACTTAAAAAACAAAAGAAATAGTTATGTTAAATCAATCAATTTGGTCAACAATAGAGATAAGAATTATAGTTATAGCCGGACGGTGGTGGCGCACGCCTTTAATCCCAGCACTCGGGAGGCAGAGGTAGGCGGATCTCTGTGAGTTCGAGACCAGCCTGGTCTACAAGAGCTAGTTCCAGGACAGGCTCCAAAACCACAGAGAAACCCTGTCTCGAAAAACCAAAAAAAAAAAAAAGAATTATAGTTAATATTAGCTATCAAAAAATTAATAACCAAACCAGTTAATACTACTTATCAAAATTCACTGAAATGACAAGTCACATGAATAATCTGCAAAACTTTACTCAAATTTTTTTATTTCTGGGAAAGAAACATTCAGAATGTTCAGGTGTTGCACTTCTGAATGATAAAAGTCTAGAATGGAGTGCTCTAAAGAAGTAGTTTTCTAGCATTCTCACAAAGTACAGTTTATACAATAGGGAGATGAGAATCACCAAATTAGAAAAAGGTTCTAAGTATCATGACTTAAAAGAATGAACAATTTCTGAACACAGGATTATAGCTCATAAGCAGTGTAGTTATTTAGCAATGAATAAGGCTATGAAGTTTGATCCCTAAAACTCTGTAATCCAAACAGAAAAAAGTACATCACTAGTATAAAAGGCTATTACTTTATCTATCCATATTGAATTATCTTCATGAATCAATTGAAGTCTCCAACACAATCTATTCAGAAAAAACACATCTATAAATAGGGCGGTTAACATTTCTATACTTAAAGTAACTATGAAGCTGTAAAGGGTTGCATTAAATTAACAGAGGGGGACTTTCAGAAATTGAAGGTTTCTAGAATAATTCGTAAGTGAATACTTATAAAATGCTCTAAATGTAAAAGGAAGATAATAACTAAAAATTTATTAAGTTGATAAGGAAATGTTCAACATCCTTAGTCATCAGAGGAGTGAAAATCTAAACAACTCTGAGGTCACATCTTACACATGTCAGAACGGCCAAGATTAAAATGACAACTTATCCTGGAGAGGTTATGGGGTAAAGGGAACACTCCTGCATTGCTGGTGGGAGTGCAAGCTCTCTATAGCCAACTTAGAGGGTAGAAAAGGACAGTAAGAAGCTCAGAAATGTAAATGGTTAGAAATCAAAATACTGAAACTGAACCACTATTCTATTTTCCTACAAACTTATCACCACAAAGGATTTATTAAGAAGTTTGTTTTCACACAGTATGTTCACATTTCAACTGCAAATTTCAAGCCATATGGAAGATCATGTTGGAGAGAGAGTAAGTCTGACTGGAAATTAAGTATTTATTTATCCTCAGAATTGCAGAGACTGTAAAATCAATAAAAAAATTGTAAATTTAAAATAACCATTAAAAAATGAAGGGTTCTAACAAATAAAGACAGCAAGGTGAGCAAAAATAAAAACCAGGAGATGAAAATTTTTAAAAACAAAATAAAATATTAGCAATAGACAGGGGCTATACTGCCCAAACCGCCTCTCTCTTCCTATCCCATTCAGCTTACATCCAGATCCCACACCCCCTGTCTCCCTCCCTCCCTCCCTCCTTTGGGGCATAGCGCCTCCCTGCCCAGCCTGCTAGGGCGCTGGGACCAAATCCGAACCGGGAGGACAAAGGGGTGGCCGGTAGCTCCTTTGTTCCCATAGCCTGCCCACAGCGAGCAGGGTGGGCCCTTTGTTCGCGAGCTAACCAAGCAGCGCGGAGTTTCGATCTGGGCACCGAGTGAAACATCATTGTGGTGAGTGAGTGCTGCGGCAGCTGGGATCATACCTCAGCCCGCCCACACTTCCTGGCCATCCTACAGGGGCTATACTGCCCAAACCGCCTCTCTCTTCCTATCCCATTCAGCCAACATCCAGATCCCCACACCCCCTGTCTCGCTCCCTCCCTCCCTCCTTTGGGGCATAGCGCCTCCCTGCCCAGCCTGCTAGGACGTTGGGACCGAATCCGAACCGGGAGGACAAAGGGGTGGCCGGTAGCTCCTTTGTTCCCATAGCCTGCCCGCAGCGAGCAGGGTGGGCCCTTTGTTCGCGAGCTAACCAAGCAGCGTGGAGTTTCGATCTGGGCACCGAGTGAAACATCATTGTGGAGAAACATCTCTGGGCAGTGATATCAATGGGAAGGTACATCAGTGGGCAAGAAGACCTGATCCTGTAAAAGAAGATCCAAATGGGAGTATTGGGAGGAAGAGATGGGCAG